AGATCATCAGAAGAGTCCCAGGCATCCCATGACGTGTGATGAGGAAATGTGAGTTAAGACCTGCAGAGAGAGAGCTGAGGATGCCCTGCACTGAGGAGATGAAGCAGATCTCTCAGCCTTGGTGTGTTGGGAGCAGTCCTGCAGGCTGCGGACTGACTTGCTGTGTGCAGTATCTGAGCACTGCTTCCCTGTGCTGCAGCTCTCCTCCTGCACTTGTTAACTCCCCTCGTCGTCAGGGGCACTTGGTGAGTTTAGTACCTTCATCCTTCTTTTTGTTTGTCTTAGTTATATAGCTCTGTTTAGGAGTTGCCATGCAAGTCTCGTGTGTGTGTGTGAGTGCACATATATCTCTGTTCCCTCTTGGGGCGTGCTGAAAACAATCCATTCAGAAACCAGGTGTCCTTGTCTCTCTTGGCATCTGGTTAAATATCAGCCAAGCAGGAGAAGGTAAATCCTAGGATGCTTTAACAACTGCTTGGGTTGTGAAGCCCTCAGCTCCATCTGATGGGATTTGAAGGTCACAGTGGTTGCCTACATGTGAAAGATGTGTCCTTATTCCCCACAGGTAAAACAGACCAAAATAATCTATTTTTAGGGGTCCCCAAATTGAGCTGATGAGAAGCGACGTGTGTTTCAGCCTGCTGAGACCAGAGGTCGCTGTTTAACTGGAAATGGAGAACCCTTCGCTCTTCCAGAGCCACTTTCTCTCTATTGTGTCCCTCTCTTCACCAGCCCTGGTAATACCTCCGGCTTCTCTTCCTTTACAAAAAGACCTTTCCTTTAAAAAACAGTAGGCTCCTGCAAATGAGGGGCTGAAGAGATGCAGCTGGAGGAGAATGCAGGGAGTCGAGCTCTGTTTCTCAGCAGTTTGGTCTCACTCCCTGCACCTACCAACATGTCCTGTCAATAATCCTCAGTCTTAATCTGTAGCCTCTTGGTTTTATCCATTCCTGGTCCCCAACATAACCTTGCTCAGAGCAGACATCTCTTCCTCTAGCCCTGGTGGCTGGCTGAGAAGGGAGAAACGTGTATAACGTTGAGCAGCAGAGTAGCAGCTGTGATGGTGTGAGGGTGAGAGGGACATGTAGGGTCTTGTAGGTGATGTGGTCTCCCCGCTGTCTGGAGGAAAGAGATGGGGCAGAACCAGATGTGCTTTTGGGTAACGGCCCTCCTGGGAGTAAGGAGGAGCAATGCCCGATGTTTTTTTTAAGTGGCCTGCATGGAGTTTTCCAATGGTGAGGTGTGTGCAGCTGGATGCTTTTGGCCTTTCCTCATCGCACAAAAGCTTTTCCTTCCTTTTACAAGGAGACTGATGAGGGTCAGAAACCTCCTTGCACGTGTGCTCTGCAGCTGAGTCTATCTTCATTGTACTCTGCTGGCACGGCTGCTTGCCAGACGTGCCTTGTACGTGGACAGCTGGTAGTGTGTGGGTTCTGGGTCAGACTTGGTCTGGCTAGCAGCACTGCAGGGAAAGCTGTTTTGAGCCCCATTTTGGCTGGACTAGAGGTTAAACTGCTGCTGCTACACACAGGTGCACTCCTGCAGAAGGGTATCATCCTGATCTTCTCCTGGGCAGGCATAGAACTGCACCACTGAGCCTAGCTGATCCTGACCTGGCTTTGAACGTGTCTGCACAAAGCCTATTCCTGGAGAAAAAGAGCTGGCAGAAAATGCTCAGCTTCCTGGCAGAATCTCAGTGTTATCCCATAGGTCGTCATTTGTCTGCAGCAAGTAGCACAGGTGAATTAGCATCTTCTGTCAGCATTCCTCAGTGCTTGAAAATACCTGGGCTTTTAATTTCATTGCTTCTCTCTAGAGAAAAAGCAAATGAGAGCTTCCAGCAGAGATGATGGACATTTATGCCTTTCTTCAAGAGAGCGGTGAAGCCATCCTGCTGCACAGGCTTGACCAGGTGGGACATTCGTGGCAGCGAGAGCCTGGGAAGCAAACAAAATGTGCTTCACATCACTCCATTGATTCAGTATTCACAGTGTACTGAGGTCCAGCAGTATGTTCTCCATCGATTTATTATAGTCAATACTTATTATTAATAGATATGAAACAGATGAGACCTGAGCCTTCTGATGTTGTAAATCGATGTGGAACTACACTCCCCAAACCTGCAGTCGTATTCTCAGCAGAGTTGAAAATCCGAAGTTACAGTTTTAGCCTGATGCCTGGACTTGTAAAATTGATGTTTGTCTTGGCAGAAAGGGGTCTTTCATTAGTCCTGCTGTTCCACTACGGGTGGGGAATAAACGATCCACTATTTGGCTATGAAGGGTAGCATGGGGTGGTTCTTTTGGCAAATGCCATGCTGCTGAGCGACGCAGTCACACCAGTGCAGCTGCCCTGCGGACTGGTACCTCTGTTTGGGTGGACTGGGGTTGTGCCTCTTTTTCTTGGGAGCAGAGCTCTGCCTGCAAAGCAGTGGGAGTGCGGGGAACACTGTGGTGTCTAAATAACTTGCAACATCCCACCACGTTACTACACAAAAGGTCTGAGTTAATGATCCAGTTGATTTACAAGTCAAGTGTGTGTCAATAGAAATTAATATTCACTGATGAGCCAAGTTGAGAGGCCTGGATTTTTTTTTTTTCTCTTTAATGGTTTTGTGTGTCAGGTCTGTGGGTGAGTTTATATACTCATGCATGGATTGGAAGGTATCTGGGGATAAATAGCATCTGGTCGATTTGGGGCTGTCCTGGAAAATGCAGTGCAAGAAATCTTGTTTGAAACTACCCGAGTACTGTGCTGTTTTGAAAATGTCTCCTGGTACTGGTACGTGAGCATGGGGAAGAAGGAGATTCCTCATCAAATGTGACTTTGCTTAGGGGTGCAGACTGCAGGTAGGTGAGGCCAGGTTCTGCACTTTGGTTTATACACAGTTGAGCTGCCCCATCGTAGAACCACAGTAAGAGAAGCTGTGGTTATCAGGGGAAGGAGAAGGTACCTTTTTTTAGTGAAACCAGACTGACTTGTAGGTAAAAACAGGCTCGCCAAGTGAAAGCTGGTGGCTGTGGCAAGTCCCCTCCCTGCAGCAGGAGGCAGTATGGAGGGGACTTCTGTTTTAGTAGTCAAAAGTAGCCACTTAAGCTGTGTTTAGCCCAAAGAACCAGTGTCAGTCACCTGCCAGATACACCAGGGTATGGATTGGCTGGCTGGGGGCAACTCTTTGGCCCCTGTAGGAATGGCTTTGGATACCTCTGCTTTTAAGGTTGTTTTCTTCCTTGGGCTGGGCTGACTTATTCCCTGAGCTGTGCCCGAGGCAAACGGATGCATGAACAGTTCCCCATCAGCCCTGGTCCCTGTGCGGACCTCCAGGGATGTGTCATCCTTCCTCCCTCCTTGCAGCGAGTGTATTTCAGCAGAGGGAACAGGTAGATGAGCATGTCTGATCTCTTCATTCCCCTGCTCAACATTAGCAGGGACTGGGTGCAGATGACTTGTCAAACAGACACAAGGCACAGAGCTCCTGGCCCTGCTTTCTGCTCTCCGAGGCCCTGTAAGGTCTGTAACATCCCCAGGCTGTCCCTCTCCTGGAGCTCCTCTCTTACACAAGCCAGTATTTAGCAAAACTCCTCTAATAGCATTTATGTTCTTAGCCCAATTTCTTTCAAAACTGCCATCTGCTGTGAGCTTTGGGAGGGATTAAGAGCATGAGAAGTCTGCACTTTTAAATCCCGTGGAAAGGAGACATGGCAGTTTGAGTGCCTGCAGGCAAGGAACAGAGGAATCTCATCACTGCTTCTGTTTTGGGGCAGAAAGACTTACACCCTAACCAAATTTAAGACTGCCTCCTTCAGCAAGGATTTTTCCTAATTGGGGGAAAGTGAGGGAAATCTTGCTTGCTGTTTTGTTGTCTCATTAGGTGATGCTCTGAGATGCTTCCAACACTTGAAAAAGGAATAAATGAGGCTGCGTAGAAGATGATGAATTCCATAGAACCAGATGCTGCAGAGATGGAGCTGAGCCTCCCGCTGAGTAACCAGTTCTTTCCACTTCAGCATGAGATCTGTTCTCGCTGTTAGGGAGACTTCTGCAGGGTGGTGAGCCAGCCAGGTACTTTCTTCTGAATTCTTCTGAATCAGTGTTGTGGCACGTGATGAGAGGTAAAATTATCTGGTTTGGGAGTTCAGTACTATGGGTGGCTCTTCACACTGAAATAGGGATGGCAGATTTCAGAGATGACCTCTTAGCACTGCCGTGGGAATTTGGTGATCCTGGAGTTAGGCTTGGAGGATCCACACAGGATAGATCCAGCCTATTTAGGGTTCCAGATCAGCACGTGAGGCTCTGGTGGCTGCCACCTGGAGTGAAGTCCTGGCTGGGTGAGGAATAGGAGCAGGGCCCTGTGGCCAGAATGCCTCCACCTGGGTGAGAAGGAGTCTGTCTGTGTAGCTCTGGAGAAGCTGAAATACCAGAAGACTGACATTTCTTAGGTATTTGTAGAGAGTCTGTGCAGAGTGCGTAATAAAATTGGAAGTATTTTTTCCTGCAACACACTCAGCCTTTGGTCCTGTGGTTTTTGTAGCTCTGTGCAGGGAGGGCTGCATCACAGCATGAAGGTAATGAGTGGGACAGACCCTTTCTCCTGCTTTGGAGGGCTGTAGTATGAATTGGTTTTGCATTTAGAGAGGACCTGAGCGAGCTGTGGTTGAAGGACAAAGTGCAGTGATGGAAACAGTTCTGAGAAGCAGGATCCTGAGGTCAATTAGTGCATGAGCAAGGATAAGAAAATGGAGGTTGAAAAAGAGTCAAAGATATTTACAGCCTGCGTGGCCTTCCCTCTCCTGGTGCTTTATTTTTAATGGCTTGCTGCTTTTACCTCTCTTTGTTTAATGAATATGTTGCTGAGTTATTGGAAGCGCAAACTGCATCCTAAAGCAGGACACTCAGGGTTTATTATATTCATATAACTCAAAAAGAGCAAAATTGATTTTTTTTTTCCTCCCCTCTCTCCTTCTCCCTCTCATCCTTAAATCTCGCAGTGGGCCTAGCGGCGCTGACAGGTGTGAGGCTGACAGCACCGGGGATGAAGAAGCTGTGTGCAGGTAATAATGCCAGCCGTGGGCAGTGACAGCAACCCTCTCCTCCTTGCCCTGCGCTTGCTTTGCCTCCAGCCACCTCTCCTTGGTGGCTCCTGGGTTTTCGTCTGGTGGGTGGCTGACTGTGGGAGGCCTGTCCTGGTGCTCCCCCTGGCATGAGACGCTGCTTGAGCATGGGGTTGGTGTGTCCTGCTCCTGTCCCTGGGCTGTTCGGGAGGGACTGACAGGCAATGCTTTGCCCTCCTTGCAGAGTGGCATTCCCAGCTCTCTAGGCTTGGTGCTTTCATCTGGTAAGAACTTTCTGCAGCGTGCTGTGGGGTGTAAGAACTTTTTGACCTTTTTATGAAATCTCAGGCTTGAGTGGCCTACTGTAGTGGGGGAGAAAACAAAACACCACATAAAACAATCTTTCTAGGTTATCTAAGCATCTCTGGGAGTCTCTGCAGCTTGTCAGTCCTTTCAGTGAGGTGGCAGAGGCTGTATTTGGCTGCTTTTGCCCTCTTTAAAGCACCCCACATCCACCTCTTACATGCCCTCTCCTGGGCGTACTCCCTCTGCAGTAGTGCAGAGGTGGCCCAAGTGTGGGGCTGGTCCCAGAGCCTCGCTGACACCTGGACCCCACCTGTCTGATGGGAGCTAGCTCCAGAGGGAGCTTTGTCCTCCCGAGATGGAAAAGGAGGTGAGGAGAAACCCAGGGGGACAGGGAGACGTTAGCTCCCAGGGAGAAATAAAGGACCTCACCCTCAGTGTGAAGCAGCCAGAGGTTTTCATCTCAGTCCTGGTTAATGAGGGCATTTTGATCTACAATTGTTGACTGCAGAAAGAGCCTCCCTGATAAAGGGGGAAGGGATGTCCTGGGGGAGAGGGTCGCTGAATATGCATGGCCCTGGGTCTCTTTGTTTAGCTGATATCTGACTATATTTATTCTTCTAGATTACACATTCTGACTGCGGAACAAAGGGCTGGCAGGAGCTGCTCTCTTGTGCTTAATAATTTGAGTGAATTTACATTTCAATGCAGCCCTGTGCCACTTCCCACCCCCCATGGAAAGAGCAGAATTTCCCTGTTGTGGGGAGGGGGAAAAGAAATTCCCACCCCGATGGCCGGGCTGGGAGATTTATTGATATTCCTCTCTGAATTTATTCCTGGCGAATCCTGTACGTGTCTGCGTGTGCCCACCCACCCAATGCAGAGTTGTTTTCTTCCCTGCCACCTTACCCCATGCCTTGCTCAGATAACTGTTTGCCCCACCTCCCCGCTGAGCAGCGTGATTCATTGTCAAGTAATTAACCATCAGTGCAGCAAGTACCTGGCTGGGCAGAAGTGTGAAAGCACATCGACACCTAATGGGAAGTGGATGCAAGATTTCCAGGTTGAGTGGCACGCGGGAGGCTGCAAAGTGACAGCTAGCCAGTGCCAAAACCCCTCAGACACGCTCTCTGCACTCAACTTTCGGTGAAAAAAAAGCCACTTGCTGAGTCAGAGGAGGGTTACGGAGGGGTTCAGAGCTGGCAGAGTTTCTCACTAGTCTGTTAACCAGGTTTGGATCAGTACCTGAGCAAATGGCTTGAGCTCTCCTCTTGTTTCTGAGGTGAATTTTCCTTGTTCTACAACCTCAACTTGTCTACAGGTGGGGTTCTGTGTCACGGCGTAGGATCCCGGGTCAGGTGTGCACAAATGTCCTATGATAGCTACCATTCAACTTTTATAATAGGACACCTGTAGTGCCTTTATTCCGTCCTTGGTGGTGTTCGTCCATCTGATGAACCTCCTTATGAGCAGACAGCCCCAGCACTCTGCATGGCATTTGGGTCTCTTATCTCTACTGTGCTGTGTCAGCTAATTGTAACAAAAGTTTGGTTTAGGCGACAGATCCTCCGTTTTGTGTGTGCACATGCAGACAGTGTGTGCCTCCTCTTGCAGAGGACGTCTCTGCTTGTCTCGAGCCCCTTAGGAGATGGGTTGTGAGCCCCTGAATACAGAACTTTTGGTGGGATCTGTATGAGGAGTGGATCAAGTCATATTGTTCTCCCATTCGCTCCTCTTCCCTCTAGTTGAACGTCCTCTCATGGCACAAAAGAAGATGGACCTAGAAATAAGGTTCTCCAGAGACTGAAGAGCAGGACGGGATGAAAGGAACAGCCTCAGACATGTGAGTCCAGCAACCTCCTCTTCTATAAGCTTGGTGCATTTGCTCTTTGGGCAGTCAGGTGATTTTGTTCTGAATCCTTTTCTTGACATCTTCCTTCTTTTGAGTCTGTATGAGGACCAGTGTGCAGTATGGGGGAAGTGTGAGCTCTTGGGTGAGCTGCAGAATGCATCTGTGTGTGAGGGAAGCCGCTTCTGGCCAGCTCCAAAGGTGTGCACAGTGGCCTTTTGCTCTTCCAGTTCAGGCATTCTTTCCAACCCGAACTGCAGAGAAACTTAGAAACGGGATTTATTGCCAAGTTTTACCATTTCTGTGTACAATGGCACACATCGAGCTCTCTGTGGGTCTGCTGCCTTACGCAGCTCAGAGCTGATTTCTTGGCTCTGCATAAAGCAGAGCAATGATCCTAAGCTAACCAGTTGTCCTGCTTATAACAGAAGAGCTCACGTATGCCTGATGCTGCTTTCCTTCCCGCTACCCTTTCCAGCTTGCTCAGCATTACAGAGTGCAGGATACAGCGGCCAGAGAACGTGGGCAGCACCAAGACCCTGTGCTGAGTCCCACTGCAGCACAACGGGGAATTTCCTGCTCCACGGAGCTCCAGTCTAAAGGGTGAAAGAGTGGGTGGTTGGCAGTAATTGTCTGAAATGCTTCCTGGAATGGGTGCCTGTTAATTTTAATGGGTAAATGTATACATTTATTTTTCGTTTGTGTTGTAGCGTGCATGTAAATGTAGGAACAGCTATACATATGGATGTTACATATCAGGCGTATACAGTCTGCAATATACACGAACACAATGCAGCACTAAATCAGGGGGTTTCGCTTCTCTTAATTACCTAATTATATTGATTTTTACATTCTGTACATCTTGGTTTTATCTGAACTTTACAGAAGGTGTAAGCAATACACATCTTGTCACATCCCATTTTCACACTAGCGCTGTTGCTGTATGAACCATTGCTAGAAATAAAACACGCCTAGAATAGTCAGCCATCTGTCTGGAAAGCACATGCAGTCCCAGATGGCAGCTTCTCTCCCGCTCGCTGGTAGCAAAGTCCTCTGTCTAAGGAACACGGCAGAAATGTGTAACAATTCAGCGGGGATGTGTACAACGTGCAGCCCTCCCCCATGCTGGGCCCCAGAGCCTCCAGCAAGGGAAGAGGAGGGGAACGTGGAGCACTGCGTCCAGCCCTAAGGGGGGCAGGTGCTCAGCTCCTGCGGAGCAGAGAGATCAGCATCAGAGCACGAACTCCACAGCAAGCCCCTCTGCCACCCACCTCTGTGTGAATGAGGTTCCTCAGCCTCTGTGCACTGCACCTTCTTGTGAAAGGAGCGCAGGACCCTGGCAGGTGATGTTAAAGCCTATTCCCTCTGGTGTTGTGGGACTGTTCAGAGGAGAAACGAGGCTGTTTCTGCTGTAGAGCTGTGTGCTGGGTCTGGGGACGGCTTGGCCACCCAGAACTGACACTTACCAACCTCAGAGTCTCCCAAGCTGTGTGCACGATCCATCGAGGAGCCGTGTAGCTGCAGTTGTACAGCAATGGTGGGGTGTGCAGGGGATGTAATGAGCGGTGCAGTCCTCTAACGTGGTGCTTCCCTCCTCAGGGCCTCTGCAGGAGCACCAGATACCCACCTGAGCAGCTGCTGAAGCTTGCAGCCCCCAGAGCTGACGGTTTCGAGCTCTACCCATTGCATTCATGTGGTCAGAGGGAAAGACAAGAAACAGCAAGAAAAGGTCCTGCCGAGACTGTGCAAAGGTTCAGGCTGTTTTGGAAGCAGGAGAAAAACAACCACTCCTCTCTTCCTCTTGGAAGTAATTTTGCCTTTTGGCCCAGCCTTTGCAAAATGAAATTTAGAAAGCCTTGCTGAGCTCGGGAGCTGGCGGGAGCCATCATCCAGCCAATTCATCATCACAGGAGCCCGGTGTCTAATAAGCAGGTAATGAATGCATTAAGTGTCCCCACCTTTAACTTGCTCGTGTGCTTCCCCACAGAGGCAGGCCCGGGCTGCAGCTGCTGGCGAGGAGACGTCACTGTGCCTGCTAAGCAGATGATGTCAGGCCTGCAGGAACGATAACTCTCTGGCTTTCCTCTCCTGGCCGCCCTGCAGCACAGGGGGAGGGCAAAGTGTGGGGTGGGGGGAAGAAGTTTTGTGGGCAGTGGGGCCTGTCTGACTCATACAAGTTACGTGGCAGGTTGGGGCAGGGATGGATAGGGTTTTACTTTGTCATATAAAGCTTTGCATCTTTGGTAGAGGTGCTAAAATTGTTGTCTTTCCAGGTTTTGTCCTACACGTGTGAGGTGTTGGGCAAAAGATGACCAGAGGAGGATGCTTAGGAAGTACAGAGTATGTTGAGTGGAGATGCATAGGGTGATGCTCTCCCTGAGAGGACACCTATGGGGCACAGCGTGGTGCCAGGAGGACATTCTGACAGCAGGGACCAGCCCAGCAGAGCAGTCCCAGTGGGACTGGGACCAGTCACAGCCAGAGCAGGACGTGGGAAGGGCAGGAACCGAGGACCTTAAAGTGAGTAGGACCTGCCTGGACATAAGCTCTGGGACAGCCCCTTGTGACTGACAAGCCCGTGCTGTCAGTCTTTTAGCTCTCCTGGAGCTCTTCCCGAGGCACCTCACCAGTTTGGGGTAAGGGTGCTGCTTTCCCTGGGCTGCTTCGTGTCTGTCCGGGCTCAAGCAGAAGGTCGTTATCACAGGGCCCCGCTCAGCAAAGCAGGGAAGCCCGTCCCTATTTGTCACCGAGCGTCAGGGCCTTGGAGGTGAATCAGATGCACTGTATTAATAGATCTAATCATCGCAAGCCTTGGTTGTGCCGTATGTAGCAATCTGTTTCCTGGCTGACAGCGTGCTCGCTGCTAGCAGGAGGGAGAGACGGAGGAAGAAGCATCGCCCATCCGCAGCTCCGCGGGGCAGGACCTTGAAGGTGGCTGAACCCAGTTTCTTCTCACCTCTTGGGTGGGTGAAATCCCAGCCTCGTGGCCATCCGGGGCAAAGCCGACAGGAACAGGGCACAGCCAGGCAGGCTGCTGGCTTTTGGAAAGAAAACTCACCCTGCTTTTAGGATGGAGGTTTCTCTTTTTCATGGGTATCCTGGAGAAAGAGGTCTGCTTCTCGTTTTAGCCTGCTTGGCAGCCCCTCACTTTGCGTTTCTCTTTCTTGCTAGCACTGGTAGCTGGTGCTGCTGCTGGCTGGTGTTTCAGATCAGCCTCGGATCAATAGGGAGCACTTGCTAGCATCATATTAATTGAGCCTTCTGCTTAGAGCCCTTGTGCTATTGATTGTAACAGTAACTTCAGCTGGAATTTGGGAAGCAGTTACTTGAAGTCTAAAAAATGAGAAGAAAGCAGAACACTGGGTGATTGGATTGACTTCGTTTCCAGCAGATTACACTGTAATAATTGCGTGTGTCCAGTCTGCTTTCATTACTTGTCCCTCCAATAAAAGCACCAGGAATGCTTTCACATTTCGATATGCAGGATTATGGGGCTTGCTTGGAGCAAGCACCAGAGTACACTGGGCAGGAGCAATATGAGAGACTTTATCTTAATAACTGGCAAGGAGATACCCACTCACCCTGCTGTCTGCCCCATTCACATCCTTTTCTTTGCTTTCCTTCCTCTTTAAAGAAAAAAAAAAAAAGAAACAAAAATGCCAATTACTGACTGAGAACATGAATTTTTCATTGACCTCCTGTAATTCCCCACAAAGCTGAGGAGCCTGGAAGGTAATGAAATGAGATTTCTTCAAAGAACAAATGAACGGGAGGAGATGACTGTCTGAGCTGAAAGCCCGGTGAGATGCAGGCGTTTTCTAGGGCCTGCCTTTGGGGTGAGGGAAGGACAGAGATGCTCTGGGGTGAGGAGGGATAAGCAGGGGGCAGCTGGAGGGTGGCTGGAGGCTCATTGCACATCTTTGCTTTGCTCCCAGGGTGAAGGTTACACGCTCCCTCAACAACCGATGAGACTATGAGATGCTGTGGGATACCCTGAGGGTTTGGGGCGGTCTTAGTGTGAGCATGCAGGGCTGTGGTTGTTTTTTTTTTCTGACCTACTGCCTTCTGCTGTCACTCTGGGTGTGGGGTGAAGCATCCTGAGTGCACCCAACCCGAGGGTGCTTTGGCTGTCAAACCTCTTGGCGTGGTTGGCAGAGCTCTTTGCCAGAAGGGCCCTGCTTTCTCCTGGCTCGAAGTCAGCTGGGGTCTTGCCACCTTCGTGCACACCATGGTGGGGCTTTCTAGGATTGATATTTCCCATGTGCTTTTTTTTTTTTGAAAGTGCCCCACAAAAGCTGCTCTCAAACTCATTTATTATTTTTTGTAAAAGCCCCCCCCCTTTTTTAAAAGGTGCTGTCAAGTGGCACTTCTTAAAATTCATGGTGGATCTCCTCCGCCTGACTCTATTACCCAATTTAAATCCACAACAGCAAGAGGGGTTGAATGCTACTATGTTAACATGGTGCCAGAGACCTCCATGAGGTTGTTTGTTAAAAGCAAATTGTACCTGTTAAGGGGCTGGGAAGGGGAGCACAGCTGCTGTTAACTGCTTTACCAAATTGACTCTGACTCATTCGTTTCAAATGAAAATTGAAATGCTTTTGACTTCTTCTTTTTCTTCTTTTTTTTTTTTTTCATCCTTCCAGTGGCAAATTTGCTTTACTTAACGCTAAGTGGGGATCATTTCTTGTGATTACTGAAAAATGCATCATAACTTTTGATTACGCTGCTATTAAGGATGCAGAATGGCAATTGCTGCTGCTCGCAGAGAGCGAGAGAGAGGAAACGCTGCTGGAAAAGCTGGTGTAACCCTTTGCTATGCTGAGTGCAGTGGAGAAGATGTCACCGCTGTAGGTCTGGGGCCACCGGCTGATGGGGCAGGACCTAGGGGTTAAATTCAGGCTGCCTGCAAGCAAGCATGAGTGCTGCTGATCCCAGAGGGCTGAGGTGAGAGCTGGAGTGCTCTGGGTTCCCTGCAATTAGCCTTCTGCAGGGACTGACAGACCTCTCTTTAAACAGGGACACCTTGGGAGCATGGGTGGAGAGGGATGCAGGAGAGGGACTTTGCAGTGCTCAAAGACAGCCTCCAGGGCTGGGGAAGCTGATGCAGGGAGATGATGGGGGTGAGGAAGGGCAGATTGCTTTACATGGAGCTGTTTTTCATTCCTCATGCAGAAGTTTCTTGTGTTTCTTAGGCACCCCCTGCTTTGCCAAAGGGAATATTCACCTTCCAAGGTATCTGCAGATCTGTAAGATCTGAGTAGAGAGCCAGGAGATGGAGTTTGTGAGATAACTGTGTGCACAGGCTGGGCAGCACTGCTCCTGCAGGCGGATGGGCTGCAGATCAGCACCAAAGCCCTGACCTCAGGCTGGGTGCCAGCAAAGCTGGTGAGAACATTGCAGGTAACACCTCCTTGGGTGGGAAAAACACACAGTGCTACTGCAGAGAGCCTTTTCCTGGCCTAGGTGAAGTGCAATCATGTTTTATTTTGCTGCCTAGCATGGCGGGCTATAAACAGAGCCTGTGTGCAGTGCTGTAAACCTGTGTGTGTCCAAGGTTGCAGAGGATTGGGGCAGTTACCTGCTTGGAGTCGAGGAAAGGACGGGCAGCAGATGAGAGGGACCGCTTTGAGGCAGGACATTCTGGTGACCGATTGCTTAAGTGCTGCTCTTTTATGGCTCCTTTCCAAGGGGTCTTGCTGCACTGTTTTCACTGTCTGTTTTGTAGCTTTCCCTGCCCTCCGAGTGCTTCAGTCCTGTTTTTTTCACTGAGAACTACATTTCCCAGAGTTCCTGTCCTTAAAGGACCGAAGCGCTGTAACAAACAACACTGAGCAGCCTCGGAAAAGACATAACAAGAGCAGGAAATATTAGAAGTGAGACTGCTCTTAAATAGTAAGCACAGAAGAGCAACCATGGCAGGTAAAGGTTTAGGAGATGAGGCTGTCTTAAGAACCCTTTGTGCTGCTGTCCTTGTTGCTGTAGGGGATGGTGTGGCCAGCTGCAAACAGCTGGTTCTTCCTCCTGCCTGGAAATAGGGGAGCTGTTAGTGGGAGTGCAAGCACAGTCCCAGGAGTTAGCTGGTTTGTGCTTGGAAGTGAGCCTTGTTCGGCTCTTGGCAGTCTCAGGAAGATGTTTCTGCCCTAACCGTACCTCACACTGCATCACACAATGGGACAAGTTCAGAGAGAGCCTCTTAATCATTCTGTGGCTGCCTACAAGCCTCCTAAAAACAGGGTCAGCAAGGCTGGGAAAGCTAAAGGTCTAGCAAGGAGGCAGGGAACAACCTGCAGAGCTAAAAAGGAAGAAATGTAACTGCTGTTAGTGCTGATGGGACAGTCATCGGCCTGTATGGAGAACTGTGATCTCTGCTTTTCCTTCTTCGCTGAGCACCAAACTGAGCTAGATGGCAGACAGCCTTGGCTGGTCTATCCAGGGAAATCTGATACACAAATATATGAAGGAGCCTGCTTTGAAAGAACGAGCAGCTGTTTTAATTGGTTTCTTAGCTAGGAAGCTCTCTGCGTAACTCCCCAGCTCACCACCAAGCCCGTTTCCAGTTGGAGGAACCTAAACCACGGCCAGGTTGGGCTTGGCTTTGTCCTGGGAGCAGGAGGATCCTCGTGGCTGGAGGCTGTGGCTGGCAATACGCCGGAGGGCCACCCAATCTCGGCGTTCCCAGAGCTGCATATTATACACACTTACCCATCCATATATATCTGGATATGTATATATATAAAATACATATATATATTTTTTGCTGGCAGCTGAGATAAAAGGGATATAATGAAAATGTAAACGAAAAACTTTACACCAGGCATGGCCTGACAGAGGGAAGATTGATATCCCGTGATGCTTTGTCTTGATGAGACAATGAAAAATAACCACCACGGCAGCTGTGTCAATATCAGACTTGGTAATGCACCACTAGCTGTGGGTTTTTATTTAATCCGCTTTGCTTTAAGATGATAACGGTTGTTACTTTTCAATGCCTGTCTGTCAGCACCCTGGCATTGCAATATTCCTCCGCAGCTTTGCGAGCGGGTTTCATTTATTTTAAAATACCATTTCACACACTGCTGACTTTTAACAGTGTTCCATGTGAGTTTGGGAGATTGAATAGTGACAGAAACAACACTTTTTATGAGAATACAGAATATTAAAAATGGGGCACAATATACAGATGGCAGTTTTCACTACAGCTTGTTTTTTTCCCCCCAACCTGCTTCTGCTACTCAGCTTCCCACTGAATGCATTTGTAGTAACACCATAAATGTCACTTTCGCTGACTGCCTTTTGGCATTTTATTTAAATGGGAATTCGGCTCTTGCTGCTGCCACCACTGCATTGAGCTCGTGTTTTGCAGGAGCGCCGCTGTGCGCGGTCCTCCTGCATCCGCGCGTTTGTCATCAGCTTGGCTCAGGGGGCTGCCAAAGCAGCCACCCCAGTTGTGCCAGCGGGCTGGGGTGTGCATCTGTACGCACCTGTGTGTCTTTGGGAGGACCCAGGATGGTCACTGAGGAGCTATCCAAGCGTGCTTTCCACGTGGTGAGACACTTTCCTTTCTGCTTGGCTTCTCTAAGGCTCTCCTCTTGCCAGCAAAATGCAAAATCGCTTGCTGCCGCGATGGCACCAAGAGGCAGATGATATCGGGAGTTAGTAACTATTGGTTTTTAACTCCTGGGGCTCTTTTGGCTGCTTTCTGCCTAAAAGCTGGCTGTTTGCTTTAGCTCGGTTGCTGTGGTGTTGAAGGAGCCCTGTCCCCTCCAGGTTTCCTGGGGCAAATAACGGCGGAGGCTTCCCGCAAGGTGTCACAGTCACACGACAAATCCCGCTGCGGGCCTGGCTGCTCCTCTAGCCGTGTAGATCTCAAAGACTCGGTGTATGAAGACGGGTGACAATCCTTGGCAGTCCCGATCCATCCTTGTGACAGGAGCTGGAGATAACTGCTGTTCTCTGAGTGCTTTCCTGGAGGACCACATAGTCTGAAAAAGGAACAGGGAAGGAGCTAAAGTGAAGAGTTGCTTTGGTCTGCATCCCAAAACATTTCTCTCAGGGCAGCTGGAAATGACCAGCGACCTCCTGAAGCATCTCTTCTCTTGGGAGCAGGCAAGAATTTTGCTGCCTTTCTCCCCTTAGAGGTCTCTGAGGAAAGGGACTGTCAGCTGCTGCTTGTGTCCTGGGTGCTGTGGGTCACCTTGCCAACCTGAAGCATCTGTGCTCCCTCCCTTTGCTGCTGCACAGCAGCTTTTTGAGCTGAGATCCTGTAAAATCAGGACTCTACCCAGCAACCCGTCAGCTAGAGCTGTGCACGTCCCTTATCAGCACACAATTCTTTCATCATGGGGACAAAAAGCTGGGACAAACCTCATCCATGTGTTCCTTCTCCCTCTTCCTGCTGCCACAGCCCTACTGATAGCCTGTCCTCTGTGATAACTCGCTGTCTTCTCTAATCACAGCTGCTGGAGGAATGGGTTGCACTCCTGTCTTCATCTTCTTCTAACACTTCAAGACTCCAAAACATTTCTGAAAACCTGTAATTGCCCCATTCCCCTTGTTTTCTGCTTGCCTTTGGGAGTGTCTGAGCCTCTGAACACAACTGGGCTGGAACAGTTTGGCTGAATTGTAGGGGATGATTGTGGCCGAGCTGGGAATCCTGCAGCCTGATGAGCATCAAAATGTTTTTGTTTGAAAAACGGAAATACTTATTTTGCTTAATATGGGAAAGTGGATTTTTTAAAATGTTTTTGCCTTCATTTGTCATTTTGAGATTATCAGTGGTTGCAAGGAAGTGCAACCTACTTTCAACATGTGTACCCTGTAGAGGTCCTTCAAGTCACCAAATGCTTCGTAAGGTTGCTTTTAGATTTGGAAGATGACAGATGTAGGATTATTATTTTGATCTCTGTAAAAATGCTTTTTATTTTAACCTTTGAGCTTCAGGCTCATTGCACAGGTATACGGGGACATTTCTATAAAATATAACGACCGGAAACAATATTGTTTCCTCTCTCCTTTAATATTTGCAGTTACAGATTCTGTTATTGCAGGACTAAGTGCACCTGCGTGTCTTCAGCCCTTCTGGGAGGCTGGAAATTTGTCCTTTCCGATTCCACTGGGGCACAGCTGCTATTTCTGGCTTTGTAGGTTGCAATGGCATCAGACTCGCAAGTGGTGATATTTTAATGTACATAAAGCTGTTTTCTGCTGCAGGCTGAATCTTCTCCCCTCTTGGCCCCAAGGGAGCATGTAGCAGGGGGTGGGAGGAGCAGGATGAGCCATTACTGAACAGGTTGACTTTTTGAAGAAAATGTGAGCTGTTTGAAAATGCTCTTACATGTGCAATGTTCCAGGCAATCCTGGGAGATGGATGAGCAGCGAGAGTGCAGGTGAGGCAGGCAGAGGCACAGGAGAAAATGTTGCTTTCATGTCTCTGTCCCAACAGGAATAATTTCCACATAAATAGCACCTCTCTGTTATTTAACACTTAAATCATCAAAGTGTCCATCAGCGTGGGGCTCTTTTGTGCGGGTGCTCTACAAATGTAAAAGTGTGTGAATGGGGAAGCGTGGGATGGTTTATGGCTCTTGTTTTAGGACAAGGAAATGTAGTGGGTGACCTCTTTGGAGCCCTTACACCCCATCATCTATTCATCATCTATCGGGACCGTTCCTCGCTGCACCAAGTTTATCATATATATTTCATCAGGTAGGAGCCTGGTGCCCACAAATCAGATCTATGGCGTGGTTTGCTAGAGCTAACCTAAGGGAACTAAACTGTCCTCCTGGTCTCTGGGTAAAATCCCTCAAGTGCAATTCTGAACGTGACGGCGTCGTGTAAGTCAGTAGTAATGCTCTATTTACATGATCTCCCTGAAAAAATGTGTGTGTTTTTAACCTGATTCCTTCTGGGATTCTTGGAGACAACAGGGCAAGATGGATAATGGGGCTAACAGCCTTCACTGTGAGACTGATCCCAGCTCCTGAATGCTTTAGCCTTGCTCTAGCATTTCCTAAAAAGGTTGCTTTCTTGTTTTCCAGGGCCACGGTGTCTGCATGGTGCACGCAGATGGTTGTCAGTGCTCGTTCAGAGGTTCCCCAGCCTCACCCGGCATGGCCCTGCAAGGGGATGCTGCTGGACTCATCCTGCCACGTGGGACTGGCTCCTCACAGCCCAGCAGAGCAGCTCCTTGGTGAGAACTAGCAGAATGCAGTAATTAATCTGAGACAAAAAAAGAAGGCCACTTAATAGGCCCTACCTCGACGTGTCTCATTTGTTTTCTGTGGGGCTGGGCAGTGACACCCAAGTGAAACGGATGGGGAAATGCAGCAGGTAAGGGATGGTGTTAGAGCTGGGTGAATCGTGGTGCTGTGGGAATCATGGGTCAGGTCTGTGTCTCAGCTGTGCGTATGAGGAGCACCAGACAGCAGGATTTTCTAGGACGAACTGAAGTGATGCAAGGTAATGTCCTTGTTTTGAGCTCTCTCCATCAGGAGGTGCAGCTTACCTGAGCAAGGTGGTTACAGTGGCTCCCCTGTATCTTGCAGGTGAACATGTTTTTTTTTTTATAGCCTGTCTTGGTTTGCTTGCCACACAAAGGCACTGTTTAATTGCTAAGGTTGCACGTTCTCCTTGGTGGAGCTGTGGGATTTGCCCTCTGGCTTATTTGTCCAACAGGAGGCAGAGTTTTAGCACAGAACTACTGGTGGGAGGCTGGGATTTCTGAAAGTGTGCTTTCTGCCTTGGCTGCTGGATTTGTGGGTACGGGATGACCCCAACAAGCTTCATCAGACATTTCTGGCACCGATCTGATGAACATCATGCCTCTATCACTCTGGCTGCCTTGTTACTTCTGCTTGTCCATCCCAGCCCCTTTGATACAGAGCCCCATGTGTTGGTATTTTCCACAAATATAGTTCAAGACTCTTTAGAGGTCCTGAGCCAGGTAGTGACTGTGTTTGGCTGTGTGGTGGCAGCAGGGATAGCCAGCAAGCTGTCTGTGCAGAAAAGTCAGGCACCTTCCTGACCTGCAGGCATACAGCTGCACCGCTGGACCCCGGCTTCTGCAGGGGATTGTCAGAGGGCATTTCATCTTTGCCTAGTGGTTTTGTTCTCTCTCCCAGCAGGATCTGTTCAGGTGCACCCACTAAGTCGATTCACCATCGCTTCCAAGGATTTAGATTTGCATTCCCACAATATATGGGAGGAAGGACCTGGTTTAAAGCTCAGTGTTCCTAGCCTTAGCATAATGCTCTTGTATTTCCAGGGTATTTCCACACCGCCTAAACAAGCTGTCCTCTGTTTTGTTCTCGTTCCACAAGTAGGAATGGATCATGCCTATCGCTCATCTGCTGTGTGCTGCTGGGCATGGTGCAGTTGGCTGGTCTGCAAGCCTGTCCATATGCTTTGCTGAGAGTGATTTCTGCTGTCCCTGTGAGGAGAAAACTTTGTCCAAGGAGCAACAGCAGCCACTGGAGTATGGAAAATCACAGAAGGAAGTGGATAGGTCCCAATTGCCTTGGTGCTGACTCCAGTTGGCTGAGGTGGGTGCAGAGTTGGGCTCTCAGGACCTGCAGGGACCACAAAATCAATTCAGTACCCACATAGGAGGAGTGGATCTAGGAAAGGATATTGTTCTTCCCTGCCCCAGGCTGGGACCTATTCTGGGACTTCTGGGGCAAGAGGTGGCAATTTTGTTCCAGACCTGGTGCTATAGTTGCTGTTTTCTGTCTCCCTTTGCTTGATGCTGCCTGATTTTGCTTGGGCTCTCGAGCTTGTGGCCCGTAGGTGCCATGCCTTGAGGAAGGGTGAGAAGAGCTGTGAGGTGGAGCCTGAGCAAACCATGGATGGTCAGCGGGCTGGAGGGACTGGGATAATCCACAAAAGGAGTCTGTATGTTGTGTTTGTCAGGAGAAGGAGCTGTAGGGAACTGCAGCAGCCCCATGGCCATGCAGGGCTGGCAGGTCACCTGTGCAAAGTGTTTCCTCCTGCTGCACCTTGCTCCCCAGCATCCCAGAGTAAACTTCAGGCTGGCTGGCACAGCTCCGATGTGTGCACAGACAGCCTGCAAGAGGCCTGAGCTGTGCTGCAGGCAGGGGTTACCAGTTCTCCGTTGTGTACCGTTGGGAGTTTCTAGCACTTTCATCCTTTGTTCCAACGCTGTTATTATTATGGATAGCAATATAGGTACCTGGTAACTCTTTCGTGGCAGTTACTGTTTCAGAGGCTATTAAGCTTGCAGATGAACAGTTCTTTGTCTAAGTTAGCGCCTAATCTTTCACATGACAATATCTTTAGAGCTATGCCCATCTGGAGGCTGAGGCAAAATCAGATTCGCTTTCTGTTAAAACTGCAGATTTGGAGAATTACACTGTGTCAGCAGGGGAGGGGGGGGAGAGATTTTTGGTAAGAAGATGAAGGAGATGTGGATACAAAATGGCAGCATTAAATCTTTGTCAGGGGATTTTAGGAGGGATAATGTCTTGCTACATAAAAAAAAAAAGAAAAAAACACCAGGGAGATAATGGACATTTATGTGAAAGGAAATGATACATGATTTTTGAGCATGCTGGAATCTTCCCCGGGTAATGGACTACTTGTTCAGATGTCGTCTTTTAAGTTCGTTAGCTTTGTTCCACCCTCTACTTGGTATTTTAATATATGTTCTAAAACACTACTTGCATTATATTTCTGTCCCTGTGTTTGAAAATATTGGCTGGGACAGTTTTAGTTACCCTTGTATTATCTCCTGCTTGAGATTTGAGTATTAATATGATTTGGAGGATGAAATACAGGTTCACATATTTACCATGCTGCTCACTGTAGAGCTAGGAAATTACTAACTTGACACCTTCCGTTTGTCTCTGTTTTCAGTTATGTGTGATGTTCCCTGCCAAATGGGGGTGAGTTATAGATGGGAACTGTTGGGGTTTTAATCTTTGATGCTGCATGTTATATGCAGAGTTTTTCAAAGGGCTCCAATTCTGTTTCTCAGATGAGAGTTTTGCTGTAGAAGTGAGCTTAGGATGGAGAAATGCACGCCCCTGGCAGTCCTTGGACCTCTCAGTCACCCTGTAAATATTCTCTTGTTTTTTTGTCTTGCTTCCTTGTGTTCCTTGATCCTCTGTCTGCACCCGCCTGCCCCTCTAAGCAGCTTGCTGGAAATCACAGCAGTGCTCCTGGAAGGAGAGGTCTGTTTGCTCGGTGCACAGAACTGTGGGGCTGCATAGATGGGATGATGCTTGGAGGGCATTACACAGTGGAAGATTGCAAACAATTCCTGAGTGTGAATAATTTCCCCTGCCATCCTCCCCTTTGTGGTTTCTTTTTCTAGCTTGATTATGTTCAGATGACTTTAAAAAAAAATAATCTCCCCAAATGCTGTTTTGTATTCCCACTTGATCTCTTCATACTCATGAATCCTGTTTTCTCATTGTGTTTTCGTTGTCTACTTTAATTTTTATTAATATGAACAATTTCTAAATGGTGTAGCAAGGTCTTTTTATTTCTTCCGTGCTTTTGTTTTTATTAAAAGACAACTTGTAAAATACTTGTAAAACGTGGTGCAAAAATGCCCTCATAATTTCCAGTTATGCTGTATACGTCTTTCACTGCGGTTGACCCTCTGACCAAATAATATCTTCAGCCACTTAGATATCCTCATTATAACCATTAGGTTAAATACTGAGGACAAAATGTACATGCTGTACCTTAAGTTTCTAATCACAACGGAGAGTTCAGATTGGTACTTTTTTTTTTTTATTGTAAGCAATTCAGTTTCTTTGAGGTAGTTAATTGGTTCTTTATTTATCTCTCAGCCTCTTTTTTTACTTTTTGTTTGTGAAACCTCTTATCCTCTACATTTCAGTGTTATCTTTTTTTTTTTATAGATGAAAATGTGCAGAAATTCTACAGAATGCTTGTTTTTGTGGAGATTTTGATCTAAAAGTCATTTTTCCATTGCAATGAAAAATCCCAGCCAGCAAGCATGTGTAAATGAATCTGAAACTCCAGCTGAGCTCTGAGTCATGACTCTAAGTCCTAAGGTGAGAAGAGGGGCCGCCGAGGATTATGTGGGGGAGTGAAACTTAAGGAAAATTGCATTAGAGACTTTCCGTTTGTTTGCCTGCTGGTTTCAAGGACTTCAGAGCCACAGAGGTTAGAAACTTGTAATTATCCTTTAGCACGATCATTGTGGCTCTCATGTGATCCCTTGCTACCAGCAGCTGAAGATTGGAAAAAACCTCCTAAAATACTGTGAGACGAGGAAATTAAGAGGGTTTAGGAATGTTGCATTACACCCCAGAACTTCCATCTCTTTGGAAGTGCTGGGGAACTGCTTTTTCATGGGTATGACCTTGGGTTCCAGGTGAAGAGGGCTCAGACATTTGTATGCATGGAGTTGCTGCAAAGCAAGCTGTTCCGTGCTAAAATGTGAGCTACACAGTCTCACCGTGTACTTAAATGTAGGATATGGTGTGTTGGCTGTCTAAGAAAAGTCTCGTAAGCAGGGGAATCTGCAGCTGAGTGAACTGAACGTGATATAACATTCCTGTGTAGCTGGGGAGCTGGAGGCAGGCATGGGCACACCAGCCAGCAACCGTGATTCTAGTTTAATGCCTGAACGCCAGCCTTGTAATTGGAGGTTGCCAAAAACCCATCTGACTTTCTTTGGGCGAAGGAGGAGGGTTTCGAGTGTTGAAGTGCCCGTTTGATTGAGAAGGTGACGCTGGGGACACTGGTTTATTATGGACTGCCGAGGGCAGGAAATGCCAGGGCTAAACTTTAACCTTTCGGAGTCGAACAGAGGTTGTTTTTCTTTCCAATCAAATTGAGGCCGTTCAGGTCTATTCTGAGCTCTAGGCTCCAACCTTGAGAAACTTATTCATTGTGGGTCACTAATTACAGGCGGGAGGGAGGGCTGACATACCTCTCCTGGGAGATCTGGTAGAAAGGTCACACGCAAAACAGTTAGGGAGAAATATATTTGTTTCTTCTGCAAGGCAGTCGTCTGGGACGTGAGCACTCCTGTGCTCATTTAGCAGGGGTGTTTATTGATGGCGAAATTAGCCCGTGGAAGTCTGCTCTTGTCATAACTTTTTTGTGAAGTGTTGAGTATGGCTTCACGTTCCTGCCAACGTAGAAGCTGTGCTGAAAATATGGCAAATGAGTCCTCGTAAAAATATTAATCCCA